ACAAAACAAGATATGGTTTTGGTCAAATTCAAATAAATTCAAATCAACCCAACTTTTCCCGCCTATTTGTCCATCCTTTCTTTGCATCAAGAGGCATCATTAGCCATCCATTTTTGTGGCGCTGCCACCGCCATGTCAACCAGAGCTCCGGCTTCTTCAACGGAATCGCAGATTTAGAGCCACGTTTACGTGAGTACTTGTGGACGGTGGGGTACAGCTAACGTCGGGGGTGCACTCTACACACAGCAGACACCATTCCTCACCAATCATCTAAGCCATTCCTACCCACGAAATTCAACCACCGCTGAGAACTGATAACCCACCCACCTGCACCACCGCAATCGATCCCGGGCAGTCCTTCACCAGTTCCTTGCAGTAAGAGGTCATGATGCGGTACCCGTGCTCCAGTTGCTCCTTCGACGCCCTTGTAGCCGCGACCTTCAGGCGTGACGCCGCGCTGTAGCTGACTTTGAGCCCGGTCTGCTGCTCTAGGCTCCTTTTCAGGTCCGTGCCCTTCACGGTCGGGTTGCTGACCATGGCAGCACTGGCGAAACCCTCGAGCGCAGCCGATCTCGCTCCGACCTTGCCGCCAGAGCAGTCATTGTGGTCCGGGATGATGAACGTCACCTTGAACTCTCCCGACCTCTGCTTGCAGGCGCGCACTTCAGCCAGACATCTTCCTTTGGCGCCATTGCAGATATGCTTCTTTTGTCTGCCGCCTCCGTTACCGGAATGAAAGCTACGGCCAGCTCCCGCGAACAGGGCCGCCACATGTACCTTCAAGGCTTTCGCGTCTTTGTATTGTTTGCCCTTCTCCAGCATGATAACCGTGTGGTGCGTGGGTGAGAAGTGCTGTAAGTGGTGAGGAACTGCCTCCGGGGGCGGGCACACGGCACACGGCGGTTGGTTTTTCGCCGCGATCTACGGAGGAGGCTGTCGAAGATTGGTACCACCCTGCTGTGTGTGGTGTATGTGCGGTACATGGTGTATCGTGCGGGTATGTGCGGTACACGGGTTATCCTGCGGGTTTTAGTATTGTCGGGCGCCAGGAAAATGTGACCATTTCTGGGTACAAAATTGACCACTTCCGGGTACACCAGTAACCAACACCGGTGACACCAGACGGTCTGGAGATGCCGGTGGCTACCTGGGGGTACCTGGGGGTGCCGGCGCGTTGATTTCTAAGTGTAACCGAAAGTGGTGATAAAGTACCCGGGTATACCCGTTTCTGGTTACGTCTCTTTTGATTTCCTTCTGCCGTTGCCGCCGACTGGCACCTGTTTAGGCCTTCACCTATTATGCATGCATAGCTTTGTGCAACTAGACCTTATTTCTGGACGCTGGACGCGGGACAATTAACAAATAAGGTCTAATTGACCAGCCATTCGCTGAGCAGAGAGAGAACATCGAAATCTACATGGCGGCGCGGCTGTTGAACTTCCGCTACGTGAAGGGGCATCAGTTGTCCACTACGGATATCAACCTCTTGCTAGGCCCCTTTCCGTTTATTACGGACGAGGTCATCAGTAGCCTAGTGGGAGAAAAGGACGAGTACTACCTCGCCGCGTCCGACGTTGACACAGATTACGACTTGTGGAAATTTTGGCGTGACAACAAGACTAGGCTTCCTCACTGGTACAAAGTTGCGAAGGACATTGCATTGATTCAGCCATCCTCTGCCTTCATGGAAAGAGTCTTTTCTATTATACGTGCGTGCATGGACGAGAGGCAGGAGTCGAGCTTCAGCGACCGCATTGCCGCAGCAGCCCTTCTCAAGTACAACAGAGGGCGGGGAAAGTAGGAGGATGGGAGTACGCGAGTACGTTGTGGTGCAGTGGTGTTGAAACGTATCGTAGTCGCGGGTGGCGGGTGGCGAGTCATGGGGGCTGATTTCTTGCTTTGACGTTCGATTTTATCACCTTGCATGAGGCTCTGAGCACTGAGGTACGGAGCGGAGACAGCCGTCTGCGGCGCCAAGGCGCCATATATTAAACATCGTTTATATAAGTCTTCTTTTCTGCTGTCTGGCGAACAACAACCACGGGGTCACGGGTCACGGGGTGCGAGTGTGTAGTCCCCTGTTCCCTGGACCCACGAGGACTTGTCGGGTGTCGAGATGTCGAAAAGCCGTACACACCTAACCAGCGTCCACACTCTTATCTATGTATTTTGACAGTAGTACATGTCCACAAATCTTACAATCTTGCATAATAATTGGTAAGTGGTACATTGGTAGTAGATTGCATCAACTGACCAAGCGCCTGGACGAAGCCAAGCGCCAAGCGCGCCTGCATATGTCGAGTATAGGGACGACAAGAGGCGTGCATAATTGCGAGCATAAACGAGGAATTTTGTGCATAACGGCGTGCATAAGTCGCCAAATTGGGCTTATGCTCGCGGAAAAAAACGTGCATAGAATTTTAAGCAAACGTGCAGAATAGGTGAAGGCCTATTACCTACAGACGAATCTTTCTCTTCAGAGACCCCGGTGTCACGCTTGCGGTCCAACATGATCAACTCAAACAAACTCGGCAGCTTCGCCAACTGTGATATAAGCTTTTAGCTGGGTTTGTGTTCTGAGGTGGAGCACTGCGAACCNTCAAGGGGGTGGCTGTAGAAGCACTGAAAACCAGAATAATCCAAATACTTTGGAACTCCGGGAAAACGGGGATAACTTCAACCATACGGTTACAGTCTGCGGAGCTTCCTACAACACTAGTCTACAGCAGATAGCCCAAGGTCAGCTAAAAGGATCGGACGCTCTGATAGCTACAAGTAGGACGGGTCGAAGATTATACAGTAGTTCTTCCCGGTGTAGAACCCTTCTGAGGTTGATGGCGCAATAAATACTGTTGCTACTACAGTAGCGGCTACGGTTTCAGAGAGGGTCGGGACAAGCCATTTTCCCTCGGCTTTCTTTCTCTTAGAAGACTGTCATTGCTACGAGAACATTAGCAAAATCGAAATGCCGTCAAAGATGGACGCTCCTCATCCCAATAATATGACGAAAGAGGTTCATTGAGGAGAGCGTGTATCATTCATGTCACGTTACGCTGCATGCAGGCGTCAGCACCTTCGTTCTTCGGCTAGCTCCAACACCGCTCATCGTTCTGTTGTTGGTTGGCGACCATTTAATAATAAGTAAAACGCCCCAAAAAGAAACATTCATGATCGTGCGATATCCCAAGACAACAGGAAAGGGGTTGAAACTGATGGAGCGTGTCCAAAGAAACGTCCCACTCACTGCTGCTGCTGCTGCAATGCTCCGACCAACCTAGCTCATACCAATGTCTTTTTTTGGTAGGGGCGGAGTGTTTTTTTTCGCGGCGCCCCCCGCGCCCCAGCGCCACCGCGGGCTGTGCTACCTACCCCCTGCTGCTGCACTTGTGTACTGCCACAACCCCCAATGTTCGCCACGCCGAGCTGTATGAGAGAGAGCAACGGGGTTTGTTTGTTCTGTGGTTCGCGTTGACGATGCAAGCAAAATATATATGTTCGTATAGCATTGTACTCTGTACACATAACACGCAGCGAGTTGGTCCAGTACCCGACACACAAAAATACAGTATTATGTCATTCTACGAATGAAGGCCAGCGTTTGATTACGTGACATGGGCGACAAGGGAGATAACATTAACTATTGTTGAAGGTGCAAGGTATCGCCAAGAACGAACGAGTCATCATGCCGCACTTGACGCATTGATTGATCGTCAGTTACAGTTATCCCTGTATCGAGTGCCACAAAGTCTTCCTGTTGGGCAGCTCGGTGCCCTGCCGTTCAACGAGCGGCTAACCTAAAACAAGATGCCACAACAACACACAGAAGTGTTCATTACTATTTGCTCCCGCACCATTTGCATCTTGTTCACTACAGCAATTTTCCACTTTCAGCCCACAGAAGCCAACAACAAAAGGCCTTACCCCACGTTGTTCCTGTAGACGCACTCTTTGCCCCGATCCCCCCAAAGCCCAGAGAACAAAAGGACGTTGGCGTGCGCACGTTGGTCAGCTACACGAAATCCATTCAAGTAAAAGCAAACATCATACAAAAGACACGATACAAAAAAATGGTCCTGACTACCAACCAACGACCTCAATCCAAATGGAACCCACACATCACAGATACATCCCAACATCCTTCGGGAGCGCAACTTTCCCAAAAGACAAGTAGTTGATCTCATCAAACCACAAGGAGGACGGGTTGCCCCTACACGGCTATCCTGAGCCGCCCATTCTCCGCGATGTATTGCGTCTTACGCTATCCGTTCCCGGCACCCCCAATGGTGCGTATCCGGGTTGGGTGGTCAAAAGCAACTCGTTCAAATTCATCGTCGTGCGCTCTATATTATTCCTCGCCCTGGAATCACCATTGCGAACAACGATTGGCGTTACGTTTGTTTGTGACCCCATCTTTCCAGTATGGCACCCTCAACATCTTCAAGTACTGCGGTAGGCATTATGAGAAAACACCCAACTAAACCAACGACCTTGGATGTGCGTACATCCCAACCACATGCAATGCGGCGCCATTCGTCAAAACTCCCACTGTGGCACAAAGCGTGCGAAACGAATCCCTCACGATGGACAACAATAAGCCGTCCCCAGACCTCACAATATCAACGTCCATCGTCTCCAACCGATCATCACGACTATTACACCATCTACGGCAATGCACAGCAGCAGTAGATGCCTCCCTCCAAGTTGATACCCCCCCCTCTGGCACCCCCCGAAGAACGACACATCCCTTCCCAGAAAACCGCCCCAGGTGGCGTTATTCTACGGCTATAACTAGCTCAAGCTCTACCACCAGCCACCACCGTCAAGTCTGCATGCTGCATTTGCTTAAGGCCCCTCTATCTCTCGTCAACGTAGACCTTCTCGAAGCACTCAAGGGATATGGATACAACTCTCCAGCCTCGCCCTCTCGCTTGCCCCACGACCTGGGTCCTACTAACCCCCCCCCCCCCCCCCCCCCCCCCCCCCCCCCCCCCCCCCCCCCCCCCCCCCCCCC